CCGCGGCTACCCGAGGCTACGCGCGATAGGCGCGGGGGCGCCGGCTGGGACCATTTTATCGGCTTTTCTTCACCTTTACTCGACAATACTTGCTTGACTGAACATAGTTAACTGAATAAAGGCTAAATAACCGGTAAATGCATAGAACATGTCGGACTGATTTGAACATAAATTGTTTATGATCTTACTCAACCTAACCGGACCTAAGGCACGGCTTTCATCTGAAAATTCTGACAATTAATCGAACACTTAACTCTGAATTAACCTAATTAACAAGGCTATGAACTGAAGAGGAGTTTACCTTTCTGAACGCTCGACGGGATCAGAAATTAGGCGTGCTACTTGGTCCTTACTCGTCGTGCGATGGTGCTTGACTTGCCGCGCGATTGCTTCTCAAATGGGCCGTGCGTTTGGAGTGGAAATTTAAGGGAATTGCTTAACTTTGGAAGCTTATGAAGAGGGTATATATACGCTGCAAAAGGCTTTAAGGAAGATGGGAAAATTTCGCCCCAAAGTCTTCTACTTATACCAAACCGAAAAGGGATGTGCGATGACGATGGTGGACGTGGCTAAACTTAGCCTTAACACTTGTTTAGCTTTTAATCAAGCTAAGGATGATTAAGCACATCATGCATTTGACAAATTGCATAATTTGATTGGATGAAAAAAAATGTTTCCCTTGGCAAAGGAAACCTTACGGCAATGACTTAATTTTTGGAAAACTAATGATATTGCTTACGGTTTTAGGGCTAATGATGTGATTAATTCACTAATTAATCACCATTTAAGTTTAATTATCTAATTAAACTTAATGCTTAATTACCAAAATTATTTCGAACGTAAACGATACGTCGAAAATCAATTTCGGTAATTCCGACTGAACTTAATTAATTCCGAAAATAATAAACGATAACGTTACTATATCGGAATTAAACGTAATTATACCGATTAAAATATCGGGATATTACACCTTCCCCAGCAAACGAGCTAGCCCGAACCAGCAATGAACGATCAACACAAGACCAATCCAAGCCAAGAACCTGCTACCGAAACTACAATCAAGCCTATACAGTAGAAGAAATCTAACCCCGAATCAGTCCCTGAATCGACCCATCGAAAACCGAGAGCGCCATAGTCCGTCCCACACCGATTCCACCCGAACTCTTCTAACAGGACTAGACGAGACTGATAGAATCTCCCCCGCCGCCTAACACCACTAGTCAAACGGGAGATTGTGCGAGAGAATACGGTCCTCATCTCGGCCACCGGGACCAATACGCTGCAGCCACCGGAGTCCCGACCACCCATAGACCCGCACACCGCCTGACATCTCCACAGACCCCCCGACCAGAGATGCAACCTCTTTCGAAAGACGGAGCTTTGCCGAATATGTCCCGGCAATCGCAGACAAGGGAGAAAAGAGAGACTTACCACCACTAATCGGAACATCGCTGACAACGGAGGGACCCCACCACCAAGCTCTGACCGGGAAAAACGCCACCAATTAAGTCCCTGCCCGCAACCGAGAGCCAGCATCCCAATCGAGGCCCATCCACCGAGAATCAGAGGCGCACACCGTCAATGGAGGCCGGGACAGTCATCGACAACCCCTGGCCAAAATTAACCGTCACCGAGGAAGGTGAATCTGTTGGAAAGTTGAGGTGCGCACCGAGGGTTAGAGAAGAAGTCGCGAGATGTCTTTCAACATTGTTGCCAGATTTTTTTTTTTTTTTTTACAAATCAATTTTTTTATTATAGAAATTATGTTAAAATTTAGAAATTATTATAAATTAAAATTTATTATCTTTATGTTGGAATTTAGAAGTTGTTATGTTATAAATTAAAATTGATTATCTTATAGAATATATTATTACTATTATATAAGAACTCAGAAATTATTATGTTCTAAATTAGAATTGATTATTTTGTAAAATTATTGTTTACATTATTCAGAATTTAATTGGTATTAATAATAAATTTTATTTACGGAAAAAAGAATTATTTTAATATATAACTATAAATCATTACATTATTTAATGTATGTTATTGTTAGTAGAAAATAATTATAATGCTAAATTATTTTTTTACAGACAATTAGTATCCCCTATATATAATTCTCGAATGCGCTGAGCCTACGTGGCTGCTTCTGGTGCTTCGGAATCCTACTTCGCTAAGAATCATGCTTCGTAATTAGGTTTAGAGAAATAATATTGATATATTAATAATTAATAATCTAGGTTCGAACATTCTATAAATATTATTTAGCTAACTTAGGTATTTTAATATCACTTGTACTAATATAACCCTTTAATTCTTTGTAATTTTACATAGTGAGACATTAAGTGACTAATATATCTCTAACTTTTGATTTGCTTCCTTCAATTAGCTATTGAATTGTAAATGTATTTTAAAAGTTGATAACTTTTGTATTTCTTATCGGTTTTACATATATAATATATCAAATTAATCATATTTTGATGATCTTGGATTTGACATCCATATTGTATATATGAAATAAATAAATTATATTTATATTTATAATAATAAATAATAATAATAATTATTAAAATTCATTAGAAAAATAAAATTATTTCTCAATTGATATATTTATATTTAATAGAGTTATATGTTGTAAGTTAAAAAAATTGTTATAATATAACACAAGTAAGTCACACAAATAAAAAGTGTCATATTTAATATAATATATATAAATATTTATAAAAGGTATTTAATTTTTTAACTACTTTTTTTACATTAATTTTAAATTTTAAGAAAAAAATTAGCAAGCACCCGTGTAATACACGACGTCGTACTATTTATGTTATATAATATAATATTTTCTAAGTTCTAACATAATAATAATAAAATTCTATAAAATAATTATTTATAATTTATAATATAATAATTTCTAAATTCTAACTATAAGATAATAAATTCTAATTTGTAATATAATAATATCTAAATTCAAACATCATTTATACAATAAATAAAACTTTGACTATTAAAAAATGAATTGCGTGACCTATCGGCAAAACCGGCCGTGCATGGTGCGGCCAACCGGCAATTGTGGTCGTCCACGATTACGGCCGGTTTCGCCGGCGGGTGGCGGGAATTTTTATTATTTTTTATTTTGGAAAAAAATTCAAGGGATAAACCGAGGGACTGTACCGCCCAATAAAGAACTGATGAACCCTAAATTTTATTCTGTAATTTTCTGTTGGTAATTGCAGAGTCTGGACGCCAAGATTGGAGCTTTTGAGAAATTGGGTGTATTGATTCTATTTTGGACCCTTCAATTCATAATTGTTCTTGTCTTTTTGTTATCTACGAGTTTGTTCCTGGTTCCGTAATGTGTTATTGCCATAAGATGAAGAATTAATGTTTACTTTTATGTCTAATTTTATTCGTGTAAAGCTTCTTACAGTCTTAAAATGCTGCCCTTAATTTTGCTTTTACTTAGATCTCTATGTATTTCTGTTTTGATTATTTCAGTTGTCTTTGTATGTTTCTGTATTTTTACAGCAATCTTGCACCTTATAATTGGGACATTGGTCAACTGGTGATATGGAGCGGCTTTTGGATGATTTATTCACCAAAAGGTGTTTGTTGATTTGAAATGCTTGGTTTTTGTTGGTTTGGACTTTGGATCTCCTTTGATGTTTAACTAAAACCCTCCCTTTTGTGAGTAGGGCTTCTGTAAGGGAGGCAGCATTATCTTCGATAATTGATGGCCTGAAACTTAACTGTCGATCTCAGTTTGCCGAGAAAAAGTCAGTTTATCAGCTAGATTGTGGAATTACTGGACTTTCACAATTAGTTCTGAGTTTACATGAATTTTTCCACTTTGAAATGATTTTTTTTTTTTTTTTTTTTTTCTCTTTGGTTTCAGTTTTGCGACTTTACTATACAGATGCCTCAATTCTATCAAGAAGGGTACTTCCAAGGAGATTGTTTTGGCTTCTCATGCTCTTGGTTATTCTCTACGCTTTAGCAGCCAATTTATATATGGTCACATAGAAGAAGGATAAAATGAGGAATGTTTTCTTACACATGAAATTAAGAACTATACTTATATTACGTTGTGAGAGATGCGACTATAAGCCATGCTAGATGCAAATTAAGGGGATTTTAACAAAATCCTGTGGTAAGATTGTAAATTAAAAACAACATTGTAAATAATTGAAAATAACATCACATGTAATGTAGTACGGCATGGTGCTTAGTTTTCACGCCTAGAAAAGTTTGTACAGGATCTTGACCCTTTACTCATATTCAAGTTGATTGCATGTGATCGTCACCTCTTACTTTCATGTGATTATGCAGGATTATTGTCACTCACAGTAGGTTGTGGGGATAATTCTCAAGAACTTTACAAGGAGTCACATCCCGTTTTCTCACAAGCTCTGAAATCTAAGAACGAAGCATTACTGAAATCTGTATGTATGATACTGGATAATGAAATTTGCGAGTCTAATAATTGCGTTATGTGTCCCTATTGTACATTTCAAGCCTCTTATTCTTCTTCTCCTCTCTCTCTCTCTCTCTCTCTCTCTCTCTCTCTCTTAACTTAAATCGTATATTCTTTATCAGGTGATCGATTCTCTAGCTATTGCTGCTTTTGTTGGTGCCAATGATTTTGAGCAGACAGAAGCTTCCATGCAGATAATATGGAAATTCATTTTTTCAAAATCTGGTGAAAATGTATGTGTCCCATGATATCTAATATTTCCGGGGCTGTTGTGGATAATCCTGCATAGACTTAGAAATAAACTGTTCACACATTATCAGCATGTCTCATTTATTTTATCAATAGGCTTATGTTAAATTTGGTCTATATTCAGATTTTGCATTAAATATTTCCTCTCTATATACTTCTGTTCACACAAATGCACTATCACATTTATAATATATCTCATGTCTTTGTTACTTAGGTTATATCAATAGAACATACTCTTTTCCATTTTAGATTAGCAAACATAAGGCGTTTTCTGATACTTCCTAATTGTGTAACTGCTTAGTCTTACTTACATTGCTTTTATTTTTTTCTTCTTTTTTGTTTGTTTGTTTGTTTTTTCTTTTTCAATTTGTTGCTCATGTTTAAATAATTGCTGGTGTTACTTCAATAAATTCAAAAAATAGTAAACTATTCAACAAAATTTCTGTTTTTATGATTCATGTACTCTTGTATCCCCACACCCACTCCCTTCACAATTGCTTTACTTATATATTTATCTCAGGCTGTGGTGAAAAAACTTCCACCGTCTGTTTTATATACAGCTATTTCTGCGTGGTCTCTTCTCCTCACAACAGTCGATGGGTGGAACCTTAATCACAATCATTGGCATGGGTAAAGTATCATTAAGATATATGTTGTCGCCTGTCAGAGATCTGAGATAATTTTAGGCTTCGACAAGTATATATGAGGAAATTGGAAATCTCAGTACTGAAATTTCTCTTCATTGTTCTTTAACAGAGCAACTTCATATTTTCTTGGCCTACTGGATTCAGACGACCGATCTGTGTGCATAGCAGCTGGTGAAGCTATTGCTTTGATATGTGAAGTCGGGTGTCTCGAGAAATTTTCTAGTTATACTACAGATGATAAAAATAGCTCAAAGGATACAGGAAAGAACTTACCGGACCATGATTACTCCTTACAAGAATTACAAGATATTGTATCCAATCATGCCAAAAAACTTGCTAGTCACACTTCAATTCAAAGTGTGGCTGTAAAAGCAATTAATGGATGGAACAACTTTTCCTTGAATGTTTTGAAAATTTTAGAGGTACTATATATACTTTTACGGAGTTACTTTTGTAGGGAGAATTACAAAACCAACCCTGAGGTTTAGTTTAATTACCACACACTTCCTTATCTTTTAAAATTATAATACCTCTTATTGTATTAAAGTATACATAAACGGAATTGGAAAGAGAAATAAATGTTGGGCGGTTTATAGTTTTCAAAAATGATTCAGAATTCTTGTAATTAGTCTGGAGTTGGGTTTTGTAATTAAATCCTTGAAAATGATCTCTATGAGATTGAGTATTACATCTTTGTTTTTCAGGAAGGTTGCTTTAGTGAAACTACTCTGAAGTTTGGCAAACACGGCTTGCAGTTACATTCATTTTCACAATTATTGCAGGTACTTATTTACTTTTGCGTGATTTATGTTCTTTCTGTGAATCTGTTCACTAACTCATTTTACAGGTTAACTTTGTCAGGCGTATTCTAGGACGTGGGTTTGTAACACACATGCTGGTTAGAATCTCCTTTTTAAATGTTTGTCCACTGCAGCTGTTGTCGTAATTTTCCATCCTGTTAATTTTTTAGAATATTTATTCTTGTAACAGGAAAATGAGTTTCTACGTGATGTTTTCGACTTCACACCCAGTAAGAACAAGCTGGAGAGCAACCTCTACAGTGCCGAAAGGGAGGAGGTTTGTCCTTTCCTTTTCTCATTTTTTTTTTAACTATTAACTTGAGTTGACTACTAAGTTTTAGTCAGTTGTACCTCCTGCTTAGGTTATGGTTCGTGTTTTTTTGCCCGAAACCAGTGAAAGAGATTACGAAGAGGACTTGTTTGAGGTGAGTTTTTCTGTCTTATCTGCAATACTATTCCGCAGTGTACCTGAGATCATCATGCTAACTTAAGATAACCAAATGGTTTATCTTGCTGAGACGTGGTGTTTTATAAAAGGAGAACCTTCATCTTTTGCAATTATTTCCTCACTTTGTGAGATTTACTACCAATGTTCTGAAAACCGAACCGGTCATCGAACCGGTCAAGCTATTGGTTCAATGGTTCACTGGTCCGACCAGTGGTTGAACCGTTATTTAATTTATTAACATTTTTAAATATATAATATTTATATAATAAAAATATATTCAAAACTTCGTTTATTAAACATTTAGACAATTTAAAACTTTCAAATACTTATTTTTTTTATATATAATTTTAATATAAATAAAAAAAATACATACATTTATATGTATTTAGTATTTATCATGGATGTATATGTGTGAAGGTGCCACCAAGTGTTGATATAAATATTAAAATTTATTTATCAACTTATGTATTCAGTTAGTTCAAATTAAGTAACAATCACTTTATGTATTTAATTTATCATGGAATGACAATATTCAAGTTTTTTTGACTTAATTTATAGTAGCAGAAAGCTCATGCATTTGCTGTACAATATTCAAGGACAGTGCTTGTCCCACATCGGCATAAGTAGTAAATGAATTGCTCTATAAATGTAGTAAAATTTCAGTTGCTGTACAAAATGCACTCGCAGGTCCAACCGGACGGTTTTTGACTGGTTCTGACCGGTTCAACCGGTCATTGACCTGTTCGTCTGCAACCGGTTTATTCCAACAAACCGAACCGGTCCATTGACTGGTTCCCGGTTCAAACGGTCGGACCGGGCGGTCCGGTCCGGTTTTCAGAACAATGTTTAATACTCTTTCTTGCTTTTCAACTCCAAATTCGTTATATACGAAAAAGTGCAACACCAGAATGAAGTTTAGGCTATCTCCTTTAATTTCGTTTTTCCTTTTCCTTTTGCTTTATGATTTTAGATGCTGGTTTCCACTTCTTGTGATTAAGAATACTCTTGGCTGTGGTTTTTGCTTTTCATTTATATTTCATATTTTGTTGAACATGCGATGCAGAGGACGCAGAAGCCAAAAAGGTCGACTTTCCAGAAAGCAAAGACTCAATTGTTGAACAAGCAGCGCATGCTAAAAGGTTTCTAATTATTACTCTTTCCCCTTTAGAACAATTACTTCAATATCAGGCTCAAAAGCATAGTGAAAAGGAAACAAAACTCAACCGGGCATTTAAATAACAAATGGGCGAATGCCAAGGTTATGCGCGAGTCAGCAACCCATAGAAGCCTGATTGGGTGGCTTTCCTGATATACATTACTCTTCATCTTGCTATTCAAGTTTATTTATAAATAAAAAAACTGATTCGGTTATCTGCTCTTTGTGACTAGGGGAAGACCTGCAACCATATCATGATTAAACAAAAGCAGATAGCGATGACTATTTTCTTGAGTCTGAAACGAACAATTTGTTGACCGACGTTAGCGTATGGCATTTCCAAACTAATTTAAGACAAATGTATCTAAGAAATATTTTCTTTATGGTAGCATTCTTTGGGCTCTCGTGCCTCAATTCTTGCAACAGTTTTAAGTGCAACACCGTATGATTTAGCATATAGAGGGGAAAAGGATGAACACATAATTATGTATTTTATAGGAATCTGCTCAAAGAAGATTGGTGAAGCTTTTTGGTTGTGATTGTTTGTCTTACAGAGATGATTTTGTCTGTTAACTAAGTGATTGCAAATAAAATGTGATTGGAAATAGGGCGAACATGTTTATGGTCATTATAAACATACAAGTTGAACATAAACTATGATACATATGGACATCGTTTTATTATTTTAAACATTATTTGAGACAATTCATAATTGCACATTGTGAATGTCAACGCTTATGTTAAAGTATATATGCCAAAGTAGTGTTCTAGAAGTCTGATGCGCATGAGGGTCGTCGACTGAAGAATGCATATAATTGGGCTCGTCGTGCGCAAAGTAAAGTACAACATATGGATGCTATCCAAGGGCTAGCGTTGCTAGAGACCCTAACACCGCTAAGGTCTGAAAGATTAGCGCCGCTAGTCCTATGCTAGAGAACCTTAATGAGGCTAGAGGTTGGAAGCTGGTCAGGGGTTAGCGCCGCTACGGTCTGGAAGTTTTTCAAGCGGGAATAGTTATTTTCTCGTTTTTTGTTTGAATTTATGAATGTTGTATGGTTTTTATGTGTGATTCAGAAAATTTGTACGACATTAATCATAAATAAATTGAGAAAACGCTTGTTTCCGAGCACAAATCCGTGTCAAAATCAAGGCCGATAGTGCGATACTAAATTCGATACTTGATACACGATTCGCAACAAAGTCGTCAGGTGCTTGACCGACGCCTGACCAAAGCTTAGCACATTGAGGACCCAGACAAAGCTTAAAAATTAAGATTAACCATCTTTTTTTAAAAAAAAAATTATTTTTACTACCTATCAAATGAAATTATTTTAATTTATAATTAATTTACATATTTAAGTTCAAATAATAATAGTAATATATTATAAAAAAATAGCATGATAACAAAAAATATGAAATGAGTAAAAAACTAGAAGAAAAACTGAAAAATCCCGTCGAGACCTGCCTAGCGCCGCTCTGCCATCACGTCGGCAGAGGCGGCCTAGAAGGTTGATGAAGTAGGTGCATCGTGGACTTCGATGGTGTTAACCCACATTGACGGCCGTTGGTTAAACACAAGATTTGGCTATAAATCTAGCAATTTTGGTTTGTTTATTTCTTGAATGTCTTGCCCTACGACCAATACAAGTTATAAATAAGAAAAACAATGGTGTACAAATAAGTCCTAACGAAAATAACTTAATGTAATCAAACCTACGATAATAACAGTAATGCAGATAGCCCCACACCAAATATTCATATATTGGCCCTTCACTGCTACGCGCATGGTTGCGGCCTTGCGTCTTGATACAAGCTCGTGGAGCTCGGTTGTACACATACTTAAGATGTCGGCCTTCGTCCTCATCATTCTCGTCCCCTTCAAGTATGTCATTGTCCTCAAGGAAAAAAATTGTAAATTGATTGCAGATATCTTACAAGTTCTCCCAAGTTGCTTCCTCCTCTGGCAGTTCCTACTACTCAATTAAGACTTCACAACAAAAATCTCCAATAATCTTTTGCCCGGACTGGTTGAACATAAGATCGCCCTCCTGATTGACCGCTAACAACCATGTCTAAAGCTTATGGTGATCACCTAGGCTCCTCTTCAATTGTGAAACGTGGATAACTGGGTGGATTTGAGAATCCACCAAGAAATCAAGCTTGTACGTCACCTCACCCATTCTTTCCTTAACTTCTCCAAGCCTTTTAAACTCACCTCTTTTATGGCGTCATTAACCTTGGCCGTCCACTTAACAAGTTCATCGCCCTATCGAAACTCCAGAGTACTAACCTGATAATTTGTCATAACGGGTCTTAATTCATCAAACCATTGCACCCCCAACAGGACATCCGACCCTTTAAATAGCAATGCGTATGGGTCGGCCTTGCAGCATAATGGGTACGCCCAGGAAGAACTCCGTACATCTCAATCACTCTCCATTGGCGACTCACACGTCTAATGGTTTTACGTTTGTCATGGGTAATTTCAACTTACTGGGAAGAGAATAATTAATGAAATTGTGGGAAGAGCATTTATCGGCTAGCACCACCACTCGGCGATCCTGCACCAATGCCGAAAACTTCATAATATTAGGCCCTTGAGTCCTCTCCATTGCATGAACTGAAGATCGGTGTTATATTTTGGCTTGGCTTTCTCTTGTTCTTCCTCGTCTAAAATTCCTGCATTCAATAAAAAAGGCATGTGTATCCTTTCAGCTGTGCCCGATCACAAACTTCGTGTCACAATTAAAACACAACCCCGCCGCTTAACCTCAATAGGTATGGTCTTGCATTCGCGTCGGCGTCCTTTCCTCAGTTTTTTGAAAATCATTAGAAAACGGCCCTGGACGCCTGACCTCTGGCCGCCTATCATGTTTCACTGCTGCAGGTGACTGTCGCGCATACGGGTGATCTCCGCAGCTGCACGTCGAGTTCTCGCCCTTTTCAGCTGCGCTTCAGACGCCAAATCGGGTTTGTTTTAAATCCCCGACAAAGGTGCCAACTAGTGCCCCTTTCTGGCCAATCTTGAACATGGATTGCAATTTGTTCAAACTCCCTTCGACATTCGCATAGATTCCCGACTTGTTTGATGTGCGAGAGGGTCTCATCGTAATCATGGTAGTTCGACGATCCAAACTGTGTAATTAGTTTCTTTTCAAAATTTCTCCAACAGATCTTGTCAATTTTCTTTTTGTAGACTATTTATAGCCACTGCCACCAAACATTCGCTTCCCCATTGAGATAATAGGTGTTGAGTTTGATCTGTTCCGCTTTTGGTACTTTGTTGATCCCGAAATATTGATTGGCACGACTCGTCCACGAATTTGGATATGTCCAATTGAAAGGATTAATTTAGGTCTTTTGCTCTTGAGCTTCTCTTTGCGGTTCGATCCCCTCGAACTGTTACCCTCGTCATCTGCGGCTTCGTTTTGAAAACCAGACTCCTTATCTGAACCCGTGGACTCGCTCGATGAGGAGTCGGAATTCCCCTTCCACGATCGTCTGGCAGCCGTTTGGATCATCATTCAGTCGATCCATGCAACCACTTGGTTCGTCGATTGGACGTCCTCGTTGATTGAACGTACACTTTCCTCTAAACGATGAATCTGCTCTCGGTTTGCCATAGTGATACACGGTCAATTCTCTCATTGAAAGCACTAATGATTAAGACTGTGTATTATGGACAGACAATATTAACCCGCGCTGACGGTCGTCGATTAAACACAAGATGTGGCTAGAAACCTAGCAATTTTGGTTTATTATTTCTTGAATGTTCTTATTTACGTCCAATACAAGTTATAAAGAAGAAAAATACTGAAGTTTGCAAATAAGTCCCAACGAATAATAACTTAATGAAGTCAACCCTATGATAATAATAATAAAAATGCAGATAGTCTCGTGCCGAATAGTCAGACGCCAGCCTGTCACTGCTTCGCGCGTGGCTAAGACCCTTATGCCTTGATACAAGCTCGTCAAGCTTGGTTGTACCCCTTCTTAAGATGTCGACCTTCATCCTCATCAGAGTCTAGGAGCGTCTAGGTGCCGTCAAATCGACATGACAATTTTTTGGTCGATTAGCCCAAATTAGTTGTGTTATGCCAGTGCCTAGCGACTAGGCCAATTTTTAGTACATTGTGCCAAAGTAGTATTATTAATATTTATATTTATTTGTATTGGTTGTGTACAATTTTTTACTTATTTGCAAATAGTTTCTAATAGTAAGCTTTAAATCTTGGAACATAATTTTGTTATTGAATGAAACTTCCTAACAATAGAAATTGATCCACGATATATTTCCCTTATATATAATTTTCAAATGTGATGAGCCCAAGTGGCAGGCTCGTATGCTTCGGGATCTTATTTGACAAGATACATGTTTCATTATTTGTTTTTTTTTTGGCCGAAACGAATAGAGATATTATAAATCAAAACACACAACTGTGCAAAAAAACACCCCAAGGCTGAAAATTACAACCAAGACTAGAAACTGGGAGGACGGATCGAAAGACCGCTTAGAGCCTCGCTAGCCACGCTAGAATAGAAAACCTACTACACACAACTAAAAGACACCAACACAACTAGGATCGTTCCCCACGGGAAAATAAGATCACCCCCCACGGGGGAATCAGCACAGAGGCCAACGGCCCAGACCAAAAATACAATACAAAACACTCAGGCAAAGAGCCCAGACCAAAAACACTTAACTAAACAGACTCAAGCAACAACAAAAACAAAAAAAAACACACAACTAGCACAACTCAACTACAACGACAACACATAACAAGAAACAAAACAAACATAAACTAAACAAACAGAGCCCTCCCTCATCACACGACCTAGCCCAACGAGCTGTAAAATGATCGACACAAGATGGATTTGAAGTCCAGAAGCCGCTACCGAAACTGCAGAAGGCCTATACAGTAGGTTAAACTGAACTCTAAACCCATCCCCGAATCGACCCGTCTTATACCGAGAGAGCCGCAATGAACCCACACCCCGGTGCCACCCGAGCTAATCTAACACCACTAGACAAAACGGGTAGCACCAAACCCCGGCCGCCTAACACCACTAGCCGAACCGAGAGGGTGGGCGAAGATCGAGCCATCAACCCCAACCACCGCAACATGAACCGCCACAGCCATCGGGGTCCCTCCCCTCCCAAAGACGCGCACCCCATCTGACCCCACCACAGCGTGCCGACGACTAGGGATCGGAGCCCCACCGGGAAAGTGGAGCCTCGCTGTGAACGACCTAATCCAACCA